TTATTTTTATGTTTTATTTGGGTGGTAATAGTGATATTTTGTGGTGTGATGATAAACTATAATGGCTGTGCAATATTGGTTAGTATAAAAGTAATATCTTCAAAATGTTCGGAAAATAATATAATGATTGATTAGAATCAGTAATTGGAGAAAATTCAGAAAAACTGTTTTATACTGGTCAATCAAGTTAAATGCTCAATGTGTGTGTCATAACTTCCGAAAATTGTGTGCCGCTATTTCATTATGAGAATGTTAATTGTTATGTGTTGTCGCTCTAAGTCACAGACAGATATTTTAGTTTTGCCGCAATACCTACAAAAATAAGATTTTTTATTTAAATAGGTTTTAAAAGTACTATTTAGGTACAAGTATTCGTCAAGTGGCAACCTAAAAAAATAATAATAACACAGGTACGTAGAATGATATAGAAATAAATTTTTATTTCGGGTTCCGTAAGCAAGCACGAGTTGAGCATCACACGGCGATGCGCCAATTAATAATGGTTTGTTGGTGACAACCTTCTTTGAACAAAACTTTAACGCAAGATTAGCGTGGAGTAGAAAACCTGCTTTTATCATCGGCTGTGTGCCGGTCCGCCTCGCTTGTAATTCCATACGAAGCATTAAAGTGTTAAGTTTATCGATGGCAATAATGCATCACAAGTAGCCGCCGTACTGCATGTACCTATGTACATACATACCTACATTATTTGTCTGGCTCGACTTATGTAGGTAGCTACTTTTATGTTTGTGTTAATTTCTATATTGGTTTTTTTATTCCACTCCACAGTTGTGTCATATTAAGTTATTTTAGTTTTCACTACTAGATGACACGGCGAATCTTTTTAAATTAACTAATAGTTTCTAACTTTTTCAAATCTTCTCTGAAATTTCACGAATATTTCAGACAAAGGAAATTAACCAAATCGGTCCAGCCGTTCTCGAGTTTTAGTCAGACTAACCGACACCGGTTATATCTTAAATATGAGAACGTGATAGTCCAATTTAGCGTCAATAGAAATAACATGTATTCGATGATACATTTTGAAGTGCATGTGACCCTGACGACAACCACTGGAGTGTTATTAACAGTGTATTTTCGCATTACACAACATAGATTTGGGGACCTTAAAGCTGTTCTTCAGATGTCCCCGTCGGTAGTACTTGTAGATAGGTGTTTTGGTGTTTCAATGGTGTTGGAAACGCTTATTCTGTAGTGATACTTCTCAAAAAAATATGGAATATTTTGTTTAAAGGTTGGAAACGACATTAAAAAATCCAGCGTATTTAGAGTTAAAAAGATCTAGTTTTAGAAGTGCTTTATCATAATATTTAATTATTGCTGCTGTAGCTGACAGACCATATGTTTCATCGTCACGTTTTAGTAATATCTGTCACCATTTAATCAAAAAGATATTTAATATATTATTTCAATTTCATATCGTCCTTATAAAATTGTAATTAAAATACCATAATTTCATTAGAAAGGAAAAAAAATCAGACATTCCTTAAATATTTACATAAGCAATTGTTTGCTAAGCTTATTAACATTAAATACCAATATTGATTGAATAATAATAGTGTACCTATTGTATGAGAATGAGAAAATTACATTCATACTCATTTAATAAAGCAAAGAAGCAATATACATATATACTTATTTTCAATTAGTGTAAAAAGTATGTATGTATTTATTTAGACTATGTTTTACATAACACCTGTTTATCTGTAAGGGGTTGGTTAAATAAGTAAGTAGGTAAGTACTTAGGCAAAATACATTTTTGACTTACGCAGTTACCATTTAAGTAGTTGCATTTGTAGCCCTTAAAAAAGTCGTACTTGTCCGCAGATTAAGAACGCAGAAAAGTCGAAATGCATGAGCAGCGGGGTTCTTATGCATTTTGACTTTCCAAAGTTTATTTAGACATCACTGACATACGGTCTATAATAATTATTTTGAATTTGCAAATTTGACTTGAGCAGAACAACAGATGACTGCAGTAGCATTGTGAGGAGCATTTGTGATAGATGCTCAAAATTTTCTGTGTGTGGAGAGACTTTGCTTAGCAATAGGCTGATAATAATAATGATTATGATGATGAACATGATTATGGTAATAATGATGATGATGATGACGATAATGATGGTGGTGATGATGACGACATATATCTTCTTTGAGCCTCGCTGTGATAAGAGGCACGAGACCACTGTGGTACTGTCTTCCCAGAAACCAGTGATTGAGCTCCTTTACTTGCCAATGTCTGGGCACCTTGATCCTCCACCCTATTCGCTCACGACCTCAAGTTACGTACGATTTAGTCTCATTATACTTAATTAGTACAGTGTAAGGGCTTTTGACAGATATCAACCTTTCGTAGACTCAGACTCAGAGACTCCTTTCTATCCAGCTGGAAATATCCTTACTAGAGATAAAGAAGGAGAAGAGTTGTTCTATGCCGGGATTGATCCCACGACACTGCGGTGTCTCATGGCACCGATCGTACAATTTTTTTGACATTTAGGTAATTATTTTATTGACACTGGTTGTAAATAACACATTGATAACCTGTTAGGTTATTTTGGTCGGTCCCAAAATAATCAGATCCTATTTTTTTTGTTAGGGTTTAATCATCAAATGACTTTTCTCGCCCAAGGTGAGGCGAGAGGACTGTTAGACTCTTACTGACTAAAAACCACCGGTTCCTTCTCCTACTCTGGGCCGAGGACGAGGTGCCTTGTTGCGCTTGCCCCGCAACCCCGGCTAAAAAATAACCAGCACCTAAGTCGCCTATAGCAACCTTAAACAAGTAGGTACTAAGTTTTAATGAAGATATAAGTATGTACGTATATACAGGTCGATGTTTTACATCCCCGTCGATCACTTAAGATGTGTAAGCGGTTTGCGTGACAGCTAATTCTTGTCTCATGGAGATAAGCTTTGCTGACACGCTTGTCAAGAGGCTTGGAACTCACTATTGGCTTAGATTTTATGTAACTTTATTTATTTTATAAGGTGAACAACAGAGGTATACTTAATATTGAGTTTTCATGAATGGCTGGAGTATGTAGTATGAAACAGACACGTATGCATACTATTACCTACGTTACTTTAATTTGTCAATGAATTATTTATTGATGGGGTGACTTTCCTTGAAAACGATAGATGTTATACAATAATCAATAAATCTGACAGAATAGTTATAAGTCATTGTTTTAAGGGTATATTATTGTAGTTTAATTCACAATATTTGACGACACTCAAGATGTTATGTCAATCGATGGTAAAAGTCAAATTTCTAAATGGGTATTCAATGATCATAGATCATGGTTTAAACCCTGCTTAAGTATTTATTTTTAGAAAATCTTGAGTGAGTTAGAGCCTTTAAGATAATGAATATCGTACGTTATCTTGTATTTAGTGACGGCACGCAAATGAGCTACACCCTGTATCTTTATTCTTATTTTTAGGCGTAGAATTTCAACATTGTAAAGTCATTAAGGTTTCGAATCTAATCTAAGTACCTAAAATATGAAATTTAAAAGTTATATAGTATGACATTTCGAAAATATTATTCAAATTAAAAATAAATAGGTAATTTATCAATAAATAAGAAAAATACAATATAGGCAGTGATGACAATAAAATGTGTCGCAACTCGCAATGATAAATTATTAATAGATTAACATTTAACATTTGTATTCATCATCAGCTGACAAGTGCCCACTGCTGAGCAAAGGCCTCTTCTCATAGGGAGAAGGTTAGAGCATTAATGACCACGCTTGTTCAATGCGGGTTGGAAACTTACAATTAGAAATTATAATTTCAGGTTTCCTCACGATGTTTACCTTCACCGTATGTCGGTGGTGTCTAAATAATCATAGAAAGTACATATAAAATACACATTTGTATTCGTTAAAAGCAATTAATATTTGTATTGGTTAACATTAAATAATTCAGTAATTCCTAAAGGCGAATATTTTTACATTTAAAAAGTATGAATTTTAATGAATTGTGTATGAGAGACTATGTTGAAAATGCAATGAAATTGGCCATTTTGAACTCAAAATGTGTAATTTAATATAAAGTACTGTAATTACTTTTCTGTGATAGTGCGGCAAACGAGCAGACCGATTACCTTCCTGATGGTAAACAATCGCCACGGCTTATGGAAACCCGCAACACCGAAGGAGTAAAGAATGCGTTGCCAACCTTTTGGGGATAAGGGTTTAGGATGTTTAAGGATTGGGACGGGATGCGGGGAGGGAGATGGATTGGGCCTTTTAAGGCCCAATCCACGGTGAAACACAACGCTGTGGTTTTTTCACGCCGGTTTTCTATGAGGTCGTGGTGTCACTCCAGTCGAGCCGACCCATTCGTGTCGTATCTGAGTTCATCCACACTTAGAGAACTTTATACCTTTAAAGTTTACATTTTCAATTTAAATAATAATAAACACCTTGAAACTGTATCTAGGGGCTATGCAATAAGAAAATTAATGTTCAATTAATGAATATTCGTTGTTAATATTGACATGCGATCTAAGAAGGGCCGCGAGCGAACTTTCCTTTGGATGCAATTATTATGCAAAACGATTAACATCTTAACAAGTGGAAGTGTTCCAACCGACATTTCTCTAGCGATCGATAGCGAATTGAAAACACTGTTACATGACCCCAAAAATACATATTTAGTGGACCTTCTGAGTAATAATCCGTTTTTGTCATAGGTAATTTTAATGTTTTAAATTTTCTTTTTTATTGACGAAATCTTTGTTCATTTAATTTCTGTAATTGACCTTAAAATGGTCGACAAAGCTCATAAATGTTGCTCTTTGAAATGAAAATTCTTAAAGAAATAAATGTTATTTTTTCCATTGCAGGAAATGTGAAAAAAAATATACACGGAACTGAAATATGTAGCTGGGATGTTAAATTATGTGACCCTTATACAGCCAAAGGCTAAACAGTATTTGACCAAAATTACTTGCTAACAAAAAACACCTTGATTTATGCTATCATAATATTTATCTTTCACTTATCACTGTTTGATTGACAACATACTGTGAGTGGCGAGTGTTTGTGATCAGACGGCGAGATTCCGAGTTGATATCATCATTCGTTAATAAGATCTCGACAACTCAAGATATCTATAAATATTGGTTAGCTTCACTCGGCTACCGAATAGATTATTGTGTATAAATTGATAGGTGTTAAACATTTTATTTTTCATTTCAAGTTTGTTGGAGAATACATCACATTTTGCGTCATGAGTTTCCAAAACAAAGTGGTGTTAGTGACTGGTGGTAGCTCTGGAATTGGAGCAGCCATTGCTATCAAGTTTGCTGAAGAAGGTGCGAAAGTTGCAATAGTGGGAAGAAACAAGGAGAAACTGAATGACGTCGCGAAAAAATGTGGCAATCCTTTAGTGATACAAGCTGATGTTACCAAAGATGTAGACGTTAAAAGGATTGTCAATGAAACGGTGAAGAGTTATGGTCAAATTGATGTTCTTGTAAACAACGCTGGTATTGTGCAAATAGCTAGCATCGAAGCGGAGAACGCTATAGAAGTGTTTGACAAAGTAATGTCGACTAACTTGCGCTCAGTGGTTTACTTAACCAACCTTGCGGTTCCTTACCTGAAGAAGACTAAAGGTAACATAATCAATATATCAAGTATTGCTGGGATTCGTGTACTTTCCAAGGAAGGATTTTGTTACGACACATCCAAAGCAGCTTTGGATCACTTCACTAGATCCATAGCTCTTGAACTAGCTTCCAGTGGCGTTCGTGTCAATGTTATCAATCCAGGACCCGTTAAGACTGATATTATCTCAAATATGGGTACACCAAAAGAAATGGAAGATGTTATTTTGAAAAACATGCAAAGTATGACGGCTTTGGGAAGGATTTCTGGTCCTGAAGAGATAGCACATCTTGCTCTGTTTCTAGCAAGTGACAAGGCTGATGCCATTACTGGTTCATCTTTTGTGAGTGACAATGGAATGTTACTGAAAGCAGGAGTTTTGACTTTCTAAATATCTCAATAAACTTTACGCTGTAAAAATGTTTTTATTGAATTTTCCTAATTAGCTGCATGGCTTTGGACTATTGTCCAGTCAAATATTTTTAACAATCTTAGATGAATTGGATTGGCAGCCTTGATTTTACAATTTACTTATCTACTGGTGCAGTGAGAGTTTCAACATCGAAATTATTGCAGAGAAGCAATTATCCTTAATGCATTAGCTTTTATTAAGTACGTGTTGCTCTACGTAAGAACCGTAATATTAGTTGGTAAAAGTATCTCAACTGTAGAACATAGGCGGCCCAAGAACTTTATTACAAACTTAAACACTTCCATAAATATGTTACCTCAGCTCTGTAAAATTGAAGCTAGCTCCATAGATAAATCAGAGAGGAATAATGTCGGACAGAACCTTACAAGATGAAGTTTATAGCAAAATATCAGTAACACAAGGAGTATCGATTGATATAGCTGACGTGAGCGTTCATAGTGATCTATTTCATAAAGTACGTGCATGTGTACAAAGGTACACGACGGTCTATGTGTGAGTGCTCGTTAATCATAATTTCGCATGTTTGTTCGTGTGTACGTTGGTTCATATTATTATGTTTTGGGGATAAGAAATTAGTTAGTGGACATTAAACTTGAGTGTAGTTCCGAGGAATAGTCTTGATATTCGCTCTTATTGGGACATGTACAGAGTACAAAATGTAAATTTTTCGATATATACACATATAGGTAAACCCACATTAAATAAAAAATATATTATTCTAACACGTCATGAAGAAGAATAAACTTTTGTTAACATTGTTGCTCTGAGGGATACTCATTTTGTTAACTGAACTTGTTTATTCTATCTAATACAATAAATATGCTTCCCATAATACATTCTGAATTCGAAATATTAGCATTGCTTGAGCTTATGGTAAAGTATCTTCACCGAAATGGCGTTAGTTTCCTTAGCTACTGACCATGTATCAAATAGAATAGTCGGTGTACACGAAACTTAGCAAGAAGCATTAAGGGCTCGCACATCGTAGGGACTGACCCGTCATGAAATTTAAATCTAGATCAATAACCGCGCTTATATCATTGTCTTCATTAGAGATAATTGGGTTCGCTCCCCAACGGCCGCAACTTTGTTTGTTCGTCGATAACTTGAGACGAATTTCTTGAACATTAACCTACCTACGTCATATAGGTTAGGCAGTCGTTAGCCGAAATGGACGTCGCGATCTATTTATAATTTTAGCGGGAAGCCTCTCAAGGATCAAAGTTGTTGGGTCGAGTATTCATTGTATGATGTCTACCTGTCATAGTTAAATTTTTTTTTACACAATTGAGAGAAACGATTCTTTTTTATTTATTACTTTTTGGACATTGTGTTGATAAGTAAAGTTAGTCTGAACTGTTAAAGATATTTAACATAACAAGAAACATGATCAAAATGTTCTGAAGAAATGATAAACTCATTCCTATTGGTTCTTAATTCGAAGTTTTCTATCAAAAGAAAAAGTATAATATCCCTATTACCATAAAGCTCGGTAATTGTATTTTGTGTAAGTTGCTTGGAGACTGAGACTGGTGTGTGGGTAATGCCGTCATTTGCGTCTCATATGTTTGTACACGGCGAGCAAACACGATTACCTGAAATTAGGTTAGTACGTTTTATGTTATTTACACTATCACCGGCGTCCCTAGATTTTCGCTCATTTTAAATTATTACTACAGCTTTTTATGTTGTTGTTGTCAAGTTATTGAGTTTATAAATACTTATCTAAGAATAAGTATTTCTCATTATGTGTTATAAATTTAAATACATATACAAATACATATAAATCATTTGTACTTAAATAGGCTAATTGCAATTATGTATGTATATTCGTTTTTCTTTTGTAACTTTTTAAATGCTATCTGCAGCGGAGAGTTACACTTTAGTGAAAAATTTAAAAATTACGAGAGACACGAAGATCATGAAAAAAAATATTAAATTTCCCACAATATAGGTATCTACCTATGTCGCTTTTTTAATACCTACATAGAAAGTTCAAAAACGTTGAAATATTGTGATTCTTTTTCATTAGATATTCGTATTTTTTAAACAACCGAGCAGCCCTCAAGATGCTCAGTAAGCGCCAATGTTTGAACACTCTCGCATCGATTTCGACTCGATCGCTTTCTAATCCCCATTTTCTCGATGCCATTACGATTTTTCGAGCGCTCACCTCACTCCATATTTCCGTGCATATCTCGACGATTCGCAGATCCATTATTTTTTATGGCTGGAATACACGATGCTTAGTAGAAGTATCGCCCCTGCCTACCGAGTGTTAACGTCTCGGTACACTTTGCTTAGGGGGTGACAATGAACTTACGCAGAAAAATGGCAAACATTTACCAGCCATGGGTTTATAATGAACTAACTGGAATTCTATTAGTTTGTCGTCAGACAACAACTTGATATAAATAAGAATAAATTTAAATCTTCAACGATAATAATGACGGCATTAGAGTTAGATATTATGGACATTTTCTAAGTAGATACTCAGTTGGTCGCGGTGCTTTCAAAAATATGGTACCTTTTACAAGATTTTCAAATATTCATCAACTGTTTCAACTTAGGGAGATAGCTTAGTAGATCCTCGTGAATGAACGCTACCTGCGTCAATAAATACAAACTTTAGCGTCTATGTTAGAGAAAATGTTATGGACAATTATTGTTAGCTTTTTTATCTTAGTTTCTGATAGTTGCATTAACAACAAAAAATATTTATGCTATTTCCATTCATAGATGACGATTTCGATAACAGATTTAAGCAAGTGGACCGGAAAACCGCCCAATCAGTTTCTTTTCTGTTTCTAGTCACCCCAACACAACTCCCGACTCAGCCATTCCACTCAATACATTTTATCGACAAACGTCAGTGACGCTGCGTGACACTTATGTAAATATTTAAATACGATCCAGTACAAGCTATGAATATTTTAAACTCTAAGTAAACCACTCGGCTTTGTACTTCCACAAAGATACTCACACGCCAATGAAAGAAAATCTATTACTATTCCGTTTGCAATAAGGTTGAAATTAGTGCATGAGATCAGCAAATGACGGTTGTGTTCTTGTATTATATCTATGCATAAAGCGATTTGATAAGTGCTCGCAAATTGGGGATCGATATTAAAGTGACGAGTTATGCTGATTGGATTTTTTCAAGTGGTTCCGAGGGGACGGTGAATAATTGAGTGCGATTTAGTTTAAGCGAACAAAAAATGGTTTTCGAATTAAATTTCTTATGAATAATTACAAAGAAATCTACATATAATGTTATCAACTAATAACTTGCTCTTGAATATGGTTTTTGTGGTTACTGAGTCTCTGTCCGACTGGTATTGCTGTCGCCTGACATTTAAGTTACACCGATCACAAGATTATGCGGTATTGCTATTATAAAATCAGTAGGAGTTTACAATTTACTAAAATCTTTTGAAATTATTTTGAAAAACAAACCACATTAAATTTTACTTAATTTTTTTATAAACATAAGGTTGAACAACTTTTCTCAGTAGACATTAAAATTAGAAAGCCAAGAGCATTTCCAACGAGCGTTATACTAAGGAGCGAGTCGTGCTTGTATCAATTGATCAGGCAGATCGTCCTCGATACCGCTACTCGATACCATTCACACAATCTCCGAGGGATCTATTCGAGTGGTACTCTAGCTTTCCGGATCTCATTCTTTTGTTGGCAGCACTCGGTTCGCGTCGCCACTCGACACCCGAGGATGTCTTTGTTATAATGTCGCTTTGATAAAAGGTGGGGACCAAAAATTAGTTGTGTTAATAATAAAAATGTTTTTTATTAGCTTCCGATGATAGTATCGAGGTTTCCTAGATGTATTTGGGATAGTACTAAATCTAATTAAACAAATGCGTTGTTGGTAATTTTATTTAGGTATATGGTTCCCATCACAGTAATGCAGTTTAGCAAAAATACTTTTATGGTGGCCTTTACCATAGCGGAGTGGCAATAATAAAATAACATGAAAATTTTCATATTGATTAAAATTGATGTAGGTTTTTTGTCAAATACTCAATAAAAACATGAATTTAAAAAATACTGGGATTTAATGGATCGAATCATTAAATCCTAGTACCCTTATTATTTAGGCTGTCGAAAGCCAACTTAGTCATTTGCCAAGTAGCTCAACTTACAACGTAGACTCGTTTAAATTTTTACCAGCTAAGTATGTAACAGTACTCCAAGCAAGTGAAATGTAAAAGAATTTTTTTAAAAGCCACTACCCCCAGGTGGCGACTGGGTGAATACAAAGTGTGCAAGGCGGGCGATCCGCCTTCGTTCCTATTACATATCGATATGACGATCTCAATATTTAGGTCATTGAGAAATAAGATGGTGACTAGTCTTTCTTAAACTTTTACAATCTTTTAGACAAAACTAAGAATTAATTATAATCACATAATATACAGAATCAAGATTCTGTATATTATGTAATGAATTATTAATATTATAAGATAAAAATTGTAAATAGCACTTATAAAAGACTCAAATAATAATTAGTATTCGCAAATGCAATATAGTAAAGAGATGATATCTTCTTAGGAAGGTTTCTATTGGAAAAGAAACCAAATGCTTTCTGTACACGAGATAGGTGAGTTTGGGCGGGCGAATGGCATTGATCATAATATCGACGGAGGCTTACGAGAGTGATAAATGGACGACCGCAGCGTCAGTGGCGGGATGACGCCGGCGCCATATTTAAATCGCTCCTGTCACATCCGCATATCGCATAGGTGGTTAATATTATGATAGAGAATTAGGTGGCCATATAAAATTCTTTATAAGTTTTTTAGGTTATTGTTATGTCTACAAGTTTTCACTACAAGTGTGTTTCGGAAAGCTATGGGAGCTTTTTGTTATCTTATTTTAGAAATTATGATCATCAGTTCTATGATGAAACAATTGAAGTTTTTATGGTTGTACACAAAGGACTAGAC